GACCATCACATTATAATGCCCCCACGGCTGAAAGGGCGAGCATGTTTGATGGGACGGGGATTCGAACCTGCGACCCTCAGATTGCGAGTCGAGCGCCTTATCCACCTGGCCATGCCGGCCCAATGTCAGGCTGTACCAGAATAAATATTTAAAGTGTACTGGCAGAAAATGCTGTGCCAAAATCTTGTCATATTCTTAGAAATTCAGGACATTTGCTAAAACTTTTACCATATTTTTTATTGCTTAAGCAGTTGTCTCATTATAAAGCTAAAAGGTAAACAATCAAAGGTCAGACACCTTAAAAATATCATGTGAAATGGCATATAATACATACACAGAATGTTAGTCAAACTTTCTACAAGAGCATTTAAATAATTTGTCATAATCAATAAAACTGACCAATACCACTAAAATTTCACTTGCATTATGGAGATTGTAAACTGCCACCAATAGCTCAGGTCTGTCCCTTTTCAGTTTGTTAACTAGACACACTGACAACTTACTTGGATAACACATCTCTATTACCTCGAAATAAATTTTAAATCTCCATTATCTTTAATGTCTTAACTTATCACCAGCTTTTTTGCTATAACATTGAGCACAAAAGTTTGCTGCTTTATGCTTATAGCTCAATGGCATATGTCATCAAACTAGGTGAATCCAGTATGTTTAATATACTGGGATTAGCTAATCAAATCACATGAAAAATACTGGGCATTCAATCCCCATCCCACAGTTTCTTGCACATAGCTTGTAAGTATGATCTATCATAAGGTCTGCATGGTGAATGATTGGCCATGGTTATTTCAGCCAAGCCTAGACTTCTAGTTCTTGATAGCCTATCAGACACAGGTAGCCCACTATTAATAAAATTATATTAATATCATATATAACTGTCTGCCACTTGACATACATTGTAGAAATAATAATTACAAAAATAATATAGATCTAGAATGCATGATAGCATTTTAAAATAAGGTTTAGCCAGGTGCTGTCACCGTAGTAGCCAGTGATTTTTCAACTGCCAGTTTGTTCTGAAAGAACTGCATATGGTAGTTAATAATATATGATAATGCTTTCACTGAATTCTTTAGTTCCACAAAGGGACTGGTGCATACTGCAAGTGTATGTGCATATATTTATTCATATATAAATATCAAACTTATTTTCAAAAAAAAATTATGTTTTAAAATTTTGAAAAAAGTGGCATAGCCATGGCTGTATCAGCTGTACTGAGTTTCTATGCCCCTTGTATATACAGTGTTATTGTTTAAGGCTCATAATTGTCAGCTGGAATATTTCACTTGTTTGTTTAAATATCTTTATCTTAAAGTTGTAAATAAATGTTTTCTGGGAAAACATTTCAGTAAGCCAAAAAATCACCACAGTATATGAAAATATTATGCAACAGTTAGTATCTTAAAGTTCTTGTAATGATATAACATAACACTTGAATCAGATAATAGTTCAATTTTGATGAGCAAGATACTGCACATAATGAGTCACAAACAAGGTAAATGTTTTTTCTAATATTTGAATACTTTATCAACTGATTTTCTATTTTTAAAGTTCTTGGAATATAAGTTATTAAAACATTTACTTTCATTTACACTTTTCATGGCTATTTCCATAAGTTAGCATTTACCTACACTGAAAATGTATTTCTGATAAATACCTCTGCTCAAAAAATAGCTTTTCTCGACTAGCACTTCCCTCTATAGGTGCAAATTTTGAATGCATGCCACTAGCTTTCCACCTCCCGCTTTTGCATATACACATGCAAATGACTATGCAGCAGCTCTCCACCAATAGGAGTGGAACACCGCTCGTATAGTAACCAGTGCCCTCTTCACATCTGCACTTGTTAATCACTTTGAGATTGGAAGACCTACACCATCATAAAAAAAAGTTATATATATATATTCCTGATCAGGCACAACTTGCCACAGAGTTGGTTCCACAATACAATAGCAAAAGTCCCCTGAAAAAATAACAAAAGTCTGAAAAACAAAAAGAAATCTTTTAAATACCAAACCGTGAAAATGTAAATAAATAGTACAGAAAAACTAATTTAGCAGTATAATGGAAAATGTCAACAAATCTGCAAGCAAATACCAGCACATCTGTACAGTACTACTGCTAATCGAGAAGTGATTAAAGAGTGCAGATGTGAAGAGGGCACTGGTTATGATAGGAACGGTGTTACACGTATTGGTGGAGAGCCGCTGCATAATCACTTGCATGTGGATTTGCAGAAGCAGGAAGTGGAAGGCTAGTGGCGTGCATTGAAAATTTGCAACGATAGAGAGCAGTGCTAGTCAAGAAAAGCCAGTTTTTGAGAAGAGGTAAGATATCATATTGGAGGAATGGTATCTCTTCAGAGACTACTCAGTATAATAAATGTTGTTACTCTACCATTTATTGGGTATCATCAAATATCACAATGTTCTACTCAGTGAAAGAGTCTGTTGAAACTAAAAAAAACAATGAATAGTGATAAAAAAATAATGCAATTCTTAATAATGTATATGACGTTTTGCAGACTAAGTAACTTATATACTTGTATCCTAGATCACCACATGATCAAGATGTTTTTTTAGTATCCAGCACGCATATAAAGAATTCATGTATTAATGAAACAAATACACCATTAAAAACAGAATGGAGAATATTATTACATAACACTTTAATTATTAACTACACACTTTATCAGTGAATAAATAAACAGAAAATTCTTGCTTTTACCCTGCCCTTAATACAAATCCAATATGACATAAACCACTCAATAGTAACAAAGAATAGCTATGTCTCCTTCTATTCTCTAACTAACTGAAAATTAAGTTTATATGAAAGGTAATAGAGTAAAAACACAATATTTTTTGGAAGAACACAAGCTTATGTTAAAATGGCATAACACTCATAGTTACTTGTATGTTTAGAAAAGTTGAAAAATCACACTATGTTAAGAACTTATCACAAACTCAAAAAGTCGTGGGAGGTCTGTCAAAATAATATGGAAGAGGATGAACTAACGTTATAAATATAAGTGTTAGACATATCAACAGAACATGTTTTTAAAAGAAACTTGTTTTTCAACTAAATATAATACAGTAGTTTAATTTTACTAAGAATGCAAATGCCACTGTGGGCTGAATGCATTCAGTGTCAATGCGACAATTAGGAGAGTGGGTCAAAGTCATTTGATTCTAAAATAAGTGAACATTTAGTACAGTGACAAAAAAAAACTTTAAAAATTGAATCTGCCTGGTGTCTAGAAATTGTTAGAAAAAATTTTGAAAACTTATTGGTCTTTTTAGTCTGGTAGTCTTAATTACATTTTGCCATCATATCAATGCTTATTTACAGAATAGTTTTGTGTGCATCTTTAACTGTGGGTGAGTGTTGATTCTAGCTTCTTAAAGTTACAATCACTTAAAAATAACATACTTTTTAGTGGTGTGTATTTTCCATGAATTTCTTGATTTGTAACTGCCTTTCTGATTTTCCATGCCTAACCTTTCCATCAAGTCACTCAGCTGTGTATACACTTTGGTGCATTCCCCATGGAAGACAGCTTCTGCTGCGAAGAAAGACTGGAGGTTCGTTACCAAGAATGGAATACGGCTGGTAAAGAAAACAATGTAAACCAATGACTTTTCAGAAAAAGATTAAAAAGCCACAATATATGTTGTAATATAAATCAATTAGTTCTTAAGAAAAAAAACATTCTGAAAAAAAAAAAAGCAACAAATAATGTGAAATAATATAAAAACAATTTTCGAAAAAAGCTTAAAAGATATAACAAAAATTAAGCAATATAAAATGAGAACTCTTCATCAAATATCAAAACACAAACAAGACATACAGTGAGATAAACCACTTACTTTTCAGACAAATATCTAACAAATACCAAAAACAACTAAACTTTGTTTCAAAGTATTTAGCATAACATATAAATAATCAGGGTCACATGTGAACAATAAAATCTTTATACACACACACATGCATTAACATTTTCTTATAAAAGCATACCATCTAGAATTAGTACTTCTTGAAAATGATCAAAGTGCAACAACCAATTTTTTGTAATCCATATTTTTGGATTACAAAAGGCTTGGACAAAAAAAGGCAAACAGCAGTGTAAGTTTCCTGAATAGGTTACAATCAACACTAGTACCCTCTTAGCACCTTTAATATTAGAGTATTACATCATTTTGGGAACATGGAATGAAAAGTAAAGAACTTGAAAACCAATATCAAGACAGAAACTGGGAAAAAAATTGATGTGTCACAAAATGGTTTGAAATTGACTTAAAGGTTTTTTTTTTTGTTAGTAAGCACAAAGTTGCTAAATGGACTATCTGTATTCTGCCCACCATAGGTTTTGAAACCTGACTTTTGGTTTAAAAAGCCCTCAGATTTACTGCTGAGCCATCATGGAGCTTAGTTTTAGGAAAGAACTATCTTTGGAGTTATATGCATGAATAATTCTTAGATATTTACAATAATAATAAAAAAAATATTTAATTATATTTATAAAACTGAATAAGAATGGATATAACTTATAAAAGTTGCAACAAATTAACATGTTTAAATTCAAACTGATGTACCCAATAAAATTTTACAATTCACATATGAAATTTTAAGCAGGCAAATAAGCAAGTACATATAGAGATGTACTTGAAATAATAGATAAGATGTATTAATGACTGACAATTCTTTTGATACAACCTTACTCTCTACTTGAGAAACATTCTAAAACGTTTAGTAAAATCCATTCAAAGTTGACACTTTTATATACCAGTCAGTGATCTAATGATAACTTTGTGTAACATACACTATACCTGAGCTCACTGACATTCTAACTGTGTTAAAAACATATGAAATGTGACACAAGATGGGTGCATGTATACCACCTAAAAATGATGACAGTAAAAAAATACAATCTACACCTTTAATTTTAACTTGCCTTTTTTTTTTGTAAAGTAAAAGATAAAAAAACTTGCTAAAAACCTGTATGATAGTGTTGAGTTGATTGTGTTTATATTCTATACATCTTGTCATTTCAAAACCAAAAATGAACATTGATAAAATTACACTTCACAAAATTAACCTAGTTTACACTGTTAAGTTGTTGTCATGCAATTTGCTAATATAAATAGCATCTCAACCACTGTTTCTCTGTCATATCCCAACTGACCTGAAGAACCCTGGTAGTGGGTAGAATGCCTTTTTGGCACTAGATATAGCAGATAAAGTGTGGTTGATATTATTATACGATCTTCTCTACTTTCACTCAAAAGTTCTTTTTAATAATTCATAGGCTTAAAATAAATGTAATCTAGAGGATTAAATTTTGCAATCTTTGCTTTTTTACTGACCTTATTACTTTATTAATAACAATCAGTTTTCATTCCAGTAATGTCCAGTATTTCTCTTTAAAACTCAACATGGGTAAATTAATATTTAAATGATTTATTACAGTCTTAATGGTATATAAATTTCATTAAAATTCGATTTTTTATTCATTTTATACATTTGTAAAGGTTGAATATGCTTGGAACCTCACTATGTTATTACAGTCCACATCATGCTATATCTGCTGACCGTGCATCTTGAAAATGGCTCTGCAGCATACTTCCCATTGTAAGAATGTCATGTCCGAAGCAAACTATTTCTCCCTGCTTGCTTTCCATTAACCATTTAGCGTATGTCTGTTGTATGGAAGACTATGAACACCTATTTTGTTCACCTAATTTTGCTTAGTAAATGATTGTGATTGTTGGTTTCAGCAATTGTACTCTTCTGGCTGATCTCTGACTGATATAAATATACATTCATCTATCTATCATTTAAAAAACACAAGTGTGGTGAAATTGCATGAAATAAAGTATATTTATTAGCAATGATGGCAATTTAAGTTAAAGTAGTAACACCACCAAAGCAAGTTTCCTTCCAATTCCTATTAATATCCTTTTTTTATAATCTCTTCAATATCCATTTAATATGAGAAATGTTAGAAAGAAAGTTTACAACCATAATTTGCAATCTACAGTGATTCAGATGTTTTATAAACCTTTCTGTGAAAGATGTTGAAATTGAACATTTCAGCTTTTATAATGCTGGTGAAAACAATGTTACTGATTTAGTTTGTTTTGATTTATGATGCTCCTAGTTGTAGAAGAAAACTTTTTTCTATCAAAACTTAGAAATACATTAGTTTACAGTAAAACCTGCAATATTATTTCCAATTATTCTACAGATTTTTCAAAAAATTTAAATTTAACCCTTCCCAAATAGTAACTACTAGATCCCTGGTGGTCTAAACTACATTTTGCCGTCATATCTTATTATATTTTAGATATATCAGTGATTACTTATATAGAATATTTCTTTGTGTATCTTTTTCTTTGTCCTATCAAAGTACAATTTCCCATTATAGCAGTTTAAGTGAAGTTAAATGTTTAATACATTTTTTATCCATAACAATATCTAGTGGCCAAACTTTGTTATATTTTCTACAACACATTTTTGTGACAATTTTATAACTATTGCTTCATGACATTACATTGGTAAACAATTTATTATATTCTGCATTCCTATGCAATACTATTATTTTAGGTGCCTTATAAAAAAATTAAGTAGATGTGCAATTTGACTAAGTTTTTTGAGAGGCAAATTGGATACTCAACTCTGCCTTTGGTGAAAACCCTACAATGAAAGTCTACAAGTAAAATTGAATGTTCAGTCCATATTGGGCTTTCTTTTTTAAGCTCTTATAGTGTACTTTAAGTGTCTTACCTTAAAAGATTTACAGGTTATTTTAAGGAGACAACACTCCTCTGTCTCTTTACCCTTGAAAATGCAGAAAATACACACAAATTGGTTAAAAATGAGCAAAATCTCTGTATGAGTTTTTAGTAGCATTAATCCTCCAAGAAAGTTGTTGCAAGACAAGAGAAGTGGATCCGAAATGAAGAGGTGTAGAAGGTGAATTGAGAAACTGGGCAAAAATAGCAAAGATGGTAAACATGTGATTAAGATTTCTACTATCTGAGCTTGGTACATTTAATGCATTACATTTGATAATATTCTTGAATTTTTCTTCTACAGAAAACTATATTCTACATTAAAAAGTAAGAAATATCCTTAAAGATATTTTAATTATGAAATAATTTTCTAATTCAGGCTTAAGCACTTATTCTAACCCTAGTATAAACTGGAAGTTAAATGATGTGAATTAAAAAAAGAACAGGAAACTTAAATAGCATCAACATCTTTATTCTACACATTGTAGCTGGATGTTTTATTACTGTATATTTTGGTTATTGTGGGGAAACAAACCAAAATGCTCAATATTTTATTTACGATCTTTGACCTGTAGAATTTTGTTGTGGTCTGAGTTTTATTTATAATAGCTACTGCAGTAATAATTCTACAAAATATTTTTATTTTTTAATATATGGGAATGTTGATTGTGAATTTGGACTACTAAGTTAACCCACCAAGTTTGGTCTGGATAGGTGTACTCATTTAGAAGGATATATGTCCACAAACAGACAGGAAGTTTTTCTTCATATTGGATACTTACAGCACTGGTATGGTGATTTATATATGTGAAAAATGTCTGTACCCTGTACTTATACAGAGCTGTATAAGTATGGATGCAAATCATCTCAAACTAATGGTTATTAATTAAACATGCCAATATGCAGAAAAATGCTAAATTTTATTCATACACAAAATAATTTGTAAGTCATTAGGGATGCAAATTATTATTATTATTTTAGCTGCAGTGCCCATCATGACATCAATAATAGGTGCTAATTAATTACAAAACCATATAGAAAGCTAGAATGACTGAACAAGTAATTTTTTCCACTGCAGTGTTAATGATGGCATCAATATGATAACAGTAATAATACATACTTACGACATTGTCTTTTTACATTCCAATTTATAAAATTAGATAAGTTGGACATGACAGTTTGTTTAATACAGGTAGTTGCATGTTGGATAGTAATGTGCACCAGAATAGTAGTTTTTGTTTTTTACATTAAGGCTAAAAAGAGCTACCAAAAAGAACTAATCTAAAATCTGTTTATAGGTTTTTAGATATGAATAAAATAGCATTAAAACACAAAAAAACAATCATCACTAGAGTATGAAGCAAGGAATGATGGACATCACTCATTGTTTGAGACTCTATTGAAAATATAATGAGATCTGTCATTATTTCCCTTTATATAAAACAACTATAGATATAACAAATGACTTTAGATTATTACTGATAATTGAAATTGTAGTGTCTACCTCATTCAATCCTTTGAAGTTTGGTATTTGCTAACATCCATCACGACGTTAATGTAAATAATTTATATAAAAAGCATTTTCAACATTTTTTAACAATTGATTGTTATTCTAATTAAAGATAAAATGCTATAAAAGTTCCTGCTTAGAAACATGAAAAATATATGTTAAAATTAAATTTTTTTAATATTTAATTAACTGGTATCAATAATGCAGACTTGACATGCATGCAAAAAACTGTGAAGGAAGTTTATATAAGAAAGGACTACAATGGTTCTCTAAGCATCATCTTTTTTTTTACAATTTCTGGTGGTATATTAAAAAAGTCAGTGGTACATATGATTTATAAATCATTCACGATATACAATCAAAGATTCTTTTCAGAAATTTTCCAGCAACACATGTAAATAATAAACAAAAACAACACAACTTCAGGTAAATGGCCATTATTTCACCATGAAAAGAAAATGGAAGCCACAAATATAAGAACTTGAAAATATATTAAACTACTTGAAGTTTTAAAAAGGCTATATTCTTAGCTACACATTTTTTCTCTCATTTTTATACAGAAATGTTGCTATAACTTAAAACTCACCTGTCATATAGTGATGGTAGATCATCGTGCAGTTCTTTATTAAGAACTTCATATGAACGTTTGGCTTCATCAAGGTGTTCTCTGGCCTACACGTGATGCATTAAAAATGCAGTCTATGAATTATTATGAAATAATTGTAACAGAAGCATTAAAACAGAACACTAGTTTGAAATGTAATTATAATTGATAATTCAATAAATATCAATAAACCTAATAGTTTTACTTTTCTTTGCTGAATTACTTACCCTTCATATAAGCTATAAAAACAAAATATTTTCTTGCACATGATTCAAACACTACAATCAGCATACTTGAGACTATTATCTCAGCTGTAATGACAACACCAGTTATGTTCATATAGCTAGCTATTTGAAAACTAAATAGTGTAATTTCTTGGGTAATTGGTTGCAAATCTAGACCTAACTTGCCTTTCAAAATGTACAGCTGATAAATGATCAAGCCAAAATAAAATGCAATGAGGTGACAGAACAAAGGTCAGTGCATTATTTAATGAAAATACTTTAAATCAACATTTTGTTTCTCTAGGTATAAAGTCAACTTTGTCTATCACATGCAGTATTTTAAATATTTTCAAATACCTAAAACAACATACAGATAAACAAAAGGCATGGTAACTGTACCTAGTTTAAGATATTTCAACTCTAGTCTTAAATTTTCTCTAGTTGCCAAAAAGTTGTTTTTCTGTATTAGTAACCACTACAAACTCAAAATAGCAACATAGTGACCTCTCATCCTCTGTGGTTCAGCATTAACTTTCTGGATTTACAATGCTAAAATCCAGGTTTTGATTATTCAGAGTGGACAGAGTGCAAATAGCACACTGTGTAGCTTTGTGTTATATGAAACCAAAACTGACCTCTCATTACCAAAAAAAAAAATACTAGTAAATATGAATCAATTATCTACAAAGGTATGCAACCAAAATTAAAATAACATTGAAAGTATTACTCTTAACAATAAAAATAATCTACATTAAAGGGTAACTACTTACAAATCCTGTACTAGTACACTCAACATGAATATATGCATCTATTGATAAAGTAACCATAAAGCTGAGCTGTAGCCTCAAGGTAATTCTAGTATCACACTTCAAGAATATCTACATCAAATAAATGTATACTTACAAGTATTAGCATAATACTAAAGCACTTTATAAAAATCAAGCATTAAAATAATCCCATTATTTTAGCCTTAAAATCATATAACTCTTCCCCATTTTCCTCTTCCAAATGGTTCATGAATTCTAAAATATATCTATTCTTACTGGACCATCTCTTAAGTTTTATTTCATTTTATAAGCAAGGTTAATACACTTTTGAACACAAAATCCAAGTATTTTGAAGGATATATGTTCAAGGATATTCTTCAAATCTTTAAGGGAAAAGTTTTATTACATGAAAAAAAAAGTAAAAATAATATGTGTGTGTATTTTTTATAGTAAGGCCACATCAGGCTATCTGCTGTGTCCACCAAGGGGAATTAAACCCCTGATTTTAGTGGTGTAAATCCATAGACTTACCACTGTCCCGCAAGTGGACAGTAAAAATACAAAAATCAAATTAAAAAATTACTAATATTTCAAGACAAAAAGCATAACAACTAAAGATACAGCAGACAAATAATCTATGTTTAAATTTCAAAAAATAGTACTAAGATGTTGTTTGAAGGTAAGCACAAAGCTACACAATGAGCTATCTGTGTTCTGCCCACCACGGGTATCGAAACCCGGTTTCTAGCATTGTAAGTCTGCAGACATACTGCTGTACCACTGGGGAGCCAGTACTTAAATATATAATCAAAAAAATTAAATAAGATCACTCTTGAACGCTGTAAATTGTCATCAATATTTTCAAAAAATAAATTTAACATTTAAATTTACTAAATTGAAAAATAATGTATGGCTTTAGACTTATGGTTTTAATAAGGTTAGAAAGATAAAAAAATTGTTATATATAAGATTACAATATATACCTTTTAATATGTTTATATTTTAACAGAAAGGAGGAGGCACAAGGTATGATTTTAATTATAGTTTAAAACAAAAATATATGTATAACAAATAATAAAATTATATACAAGCTAACAGCAACAACTATCAACACTTTAATGACTGTATAAAAGAGAAAAATGGTTTCAGAAATAGTGGTTTAAACAACAAAAATATATGTATAACAAATAATAAAATTATATACAACCTAACAGCAACAACTATCAACACTTTAATGACTGTATAAAAGAGAAAAATGGTTTCAGAAATAGTGGTTTAAACAACAAAAATATATGTATAACAAATAATAAAATTATATACAACCTAACAGCAACAACTATCAACACTTTAATGACTGTATAAAAGAGAAAAATGGTTTCAGAAATGGTGGATTAAACATCAAAAATATATGTATAACAAATAATAAAATTATATACAACCTAACAGCAACAACTATCAACACCTTAATGACTGTATAAAAGAGAAAAATGGTTTCAGAAATAGTGGATTAAACAACAAAAATATATGTATAACAAATAATAAAATTATATACAACCTAACAGCAACAACTATCAACACTTTAATGACTGTATGAAAGAGAAAAACGGTTTCAGAAATAGTGGATTAAACAACAAAAAGTATATGTATAACAAATAATAAAATTATATACAACCTAACAGCAACAACTATCAACACTTTAATGACTGTATGAAAGAGAAAAATGGTTTCAGAAATAGTGGATTAAACAACAAAAATATAAAAAAAAGAGCTCACCTTTCCTATTTTCATTTCATCTCTTTTCTTACCAGAATGTAACAGAGCTTCTAAATTATGCCTACTGCTGTCGTAGTCAACCATCTTTCTGTTTCGTTTAGCTATTTTTGACTAAAAAAAATAATTTTTTTTAGAATTAAATGTATTTCAAACAGGTATTTACCTCCTCTGAACTACTAAAAGCCTTTCACTGTTGAGTTTGCTCTCATTCTGTCAAAAAAAAATGTGATTAGAGTTCTGAATGTCCTTCCCACAATGTAGAGCAACTGTCAACTTACCTATAGTCCTCACTCTTCCACCTTCCATGTTACTCATTGTTCATGCATCAGGAGAAAGTCTCTCAGTTCTGCTTTCCCACCATAGTCTGGATATTACTAAAAGTCAGTCTTTCAGTACTGATTCCAATCGATTTTCTTTTGCTACAAACTTATTTCATTTTAACTATTTGTTATAATTGAAGAGGAAGAATATTTGTCTTACATTTGAATGAAAACAAATGAAATACAATTTGAAGACTATTTCAAACCAGGACTGATTGACCAATGTTCAGGTGCATTGAAATGAAACAAAAATATACAAAAACAATCCTTGTTACATTCCTCTGTTAAACAATGTAGGATCAAGGGTTTTTTTCAAGGTTGAGAGGAATTAAAGTGAATGGTAACACGTTTTAAAAAATTTATACCACTAAAATTTCTGTCAATTTATTGCTTTTGCTACCTTTGATAAACCCCAAGATATCAGACAGAATTACTATAAAACCATAATTTAAAATAAAATACCTAAATCTGAAGTAAAACAATTAGACAATTAATTATCATTATTATAGACTACAAAACTCTGAATTATATACATTGACACCTATTTGAAACAAGAATAAAATACGTATAACACATGCACATGCTCCCTACAGACTCATAATCTAATTTTCCACTGCTGGGTGTTGATTTTTTGAAACACCTAAAAATTCATATAAAAATATGAAATTACATCAGCACATGTATCAGTGTAAAACAATGTATGCCAAGTATAAAAACTGAAATTTCTGTCAATTTATTGTTTTTGCTACCTTTGATAAACCCCAAGAAATCAGACAGATATCAGATAAACTTTTAATATCAAGTCAGTAAACTCTTATTTTTTTTGTGTTTTAAGCAAAATTAAACTTGAAATTTGAGTATTTTTCATGATCTTCTAATAGAGAAAATAAATATCTTTCTTCCTCCTCAACTATAAAAAAAGGTTTAAAAAAAATAAGTCAGTAGGAATGGATCATCAAATTTTAAGTATAGGACCAGAAGTGGAAGAACCAGGACCAAGACCGACTTTTATCTCCATGATCCTGATTTCTCAACTGCAGTTGTTATGGAAAACCATAAATCTACAGGTTGAAGAAAGATAGGTGCAAATGTATTTCACGGATTTGTACCAAGTTGAAATTAATTTTTATTATAATCATGTAAAATTCCAATTAAGTAGACTTACTTCTGAAATACCCGCTATGAGATGGCAAAGGGAACCAGAAAGCGAACCATAAGTACCACTAGTTTATCAAAACCTGAACCCATGGGCAGAAAGCCTAGACCACTACAAGCGAAAGATGCAATCACTCAAGGGTTTAAGCAGAGTCCAGAACTAGGATGAAAGTCAACAGACTACATTCAAGAGATAACAGAATGGCATATTTTACTTAATCCTTTAAAAACACAAGCCATAATATTCAGCAGAATGCTCAAAAGAAACAGGAAAAAAGTTAACCAACTCAAGCTCATCCTCTATAGTACTGAAATCAAGTTTACTAACTCAATTAAATTCTTAGGTTTAACCTTCACCAACAGACTCACATGGAATGCACACTTTATGCAAATCATTAAGAAAATAAATCAAAGAAAATAAGTGGCTATGCAAAAGGTTGCAATGCCCAAACCATATTATTAATTTACAAAATGTACATCAGACCAGTCGCTGAATATGCTAACGCCATTACATATAACATGTTCGACAACTTATATAAGTCATTAAAAACAGCACAACTAAAAGCAATTAGAATTCTTCAGAACCACAAAGAGATGTGAATAAAAACCTGGAGAAACATGATAAATGATTTTGACTGCTCCTTTCTGAAGGAGATCTGAGATTTCCTAATCCAGAATGTGTAAGCAAACTGGATCAGAAGAAAAAGACAATGACTGAACAGAAAGAAGAGGGGGGGCAATGAAAATGAAGGTAAGGATCAAACTGAAGGACTTTTGAACCCAAAGATTTCATAAATCAACAGATGATCTGAGACAATCCCATCCCTAATAGTCCACTTGGAGGATTCATCCAGAACATAAGAGTTAATAAATTGGCCAAGAAGATCCACCTTGCTTAATTGCTTTTCCATCAGAAGGATGAGAGCAGCTAACAACTAATAACTGCACTAAAAAGAAAACCTAAAACTGAGACAAGTCATAGCACACAGGTAAGAAAACTGATAATGGAAGACTCCCCTCATCCACAATAACTAGTTAAGAACTTAAGAAATTAGATGAGTAGTGGAAGATGACCTCACTAAAAGATCAAGTGGTGAATAAACAAAAGGAATTGAAGACCTGCAACATTCTGCTGATTTCTAAAAGCATCAGCAAAGAACTGGAAGTTATAAAGATTCAAGAACTGAATCATCTGACATGACACAAGTAGTTTTATACATAACAGAAATTGGTTCAATTCATTTTTTGGAAAACATAATTTAATAATAAAGAAAAACACTAACTTAATTACATGAAGCATTTATTAGATGTTTCAGAATCTTCAGAATTCTATCTTCAGTACCTCTAGAAAACCTGAAGATGGAATTCTAAAAATGTCCAATAAATGCTTCATGTAATTATGTTCATGTTTTTCTTTATTATTAGATTGGTTCAAGATTTGAAATAGACTATACTTGAGAAAAAAAGAGGGAATCCTCAATAGCCATGGTACATGAAAAATTTTTAGGCAGGATTAGAGGAAATTAATCTGAGAGACATTTTTTTCATTTTTATTAGCTACATTTTTGTGCACCAGCAATACCAAGTGTGGAACATGCATATACTTGATCAATTTTATTACTCATCAGGATCTCTACCAGCCTACCCTCAAATTGAAAGTTTTTTGGGCAGGATTAGAGTAAATTAATCTACGAGATCTCGGCTTGTTTGCTTGGTGCTTTATGGTGCAAAGCAACGAGGCTATCTGCGCCAAACAACCAGTAAAAACAGTGAAAGTAAATTAGAGTAAAATGTAAAAATACAGCGAGATAAAACCAAAATATGTCCAAAATTTGGATAAAAGATATATATATATATACAATTAAAAAGGCAAGTAGTGCATAAAAAATTAAAAATACAATCAAGTCGGACAACGTCACCATCGCCAATGACACTGTCCAACGTCAGGGGTAAACTCTTACAAAACACGTGTCTAAAATGGTGCCACCGCTCACGGTCGTAACGACGGCACAAGAGTAAAATGTGGGCGATTGTGATTTGAGTGTCACAATGGCTACACATTAGTGGGTCAATACCAGATAAAAGAAAATGATGGGTGAAAAAAACTGTGACCAATGCATAGCCTTGCCAGGACAACTTCCTCCTTCTGATCCTTACAGAAGCAAGATGGCCAAAGACCAACCGAAGGCTTGATCTGAAAAAGCTTGTTATGATGTTGCTCACCCCAAGTCAACTGCCAATTGGCACAAAGCTGCGCCTTGAAGACAGGACCATAGTCCATGTTGGGGACAGGCATGGTTGTGACGGCATCAGAGCAGACGGACTTAGCTGCGGTGTCAGCGAGCTCGTTCTTATGAATACTGACATGGCCAGGTATACAAAAAAACTGGATGTAAACAGAAGATAGAGAAAAATGGGCCAGTCGTTGTTGAATATCGTTGAGAACAGGGTGAGAACTAATGTTAAGTGATTCCAGGGCCAGTAGATAGCTAAGAGAATCAGTGTAAATAGTACAATCACTGTACTGCATAGCTTCTACATGATCCAGGGTAAGAGAAATAGCATACAACTCAGCAGCAACACAGAAACTGTCGAGGGGATCCTGCAAGCAACTACTGAGCCACAGCAAATCATGACATAGCCTACAGAATAACATAATTTCGAACCTCCGTGTAAATAGGAAGAGAAGAATGGCTCAAAAGATGTTTAGCAAAAAGGTGGAAACTTCCAATCAGGAGTATCCACCTTCCTCAGATGACTCAAGGAAAGGTCACAGGAAGGGATAGTAATAAGCCATGGTGGAATGGGCTGATCATTGGAGACAGCAATGTCATCCAATGCCAGACCCAATTGAGCCAGTTGTGCCCGGATACGAAGGCCAAAAGGAGGAATTGCAGACCATCTGTTCTGAAAGAGCATGGCCCACTGAGGTAGAAAGACACAATCCCAGGTGGGATGCTGTGGTAAGGATCGAAGCTTGGTAGCATATTGTAAAGAAAGTTGCAAATGACAGAGGTAAAGAGGAGGTTCGTGGGAATCAGTGTACAAACTCGGGACTGGAGAGGTGCAAAAAGCCCCAGTACAGAGCTGAAGTGCCACATGGTGAATGGGGTCCAGCATCTTCAAGGCTAAGGTCCTGGCAGAACCATAGACCAAAGACCCATAGTCCAGTTTGGACTGATCCAGGGCATGATAGATCCTGAGCATAGAACATAGGACACAGAGGATGTTCAGAGCCCTTGCACACTTGATACGTAACTGTTTGATGTGCGGAATGAAGCTAAGCTTACGGTCAAAGATAAGCCCCCAATAACTTTACCTCATGGACCCCACAAATAACTATATCACCGAGACAGAGCTTGGAATCAGAGTGGAGACCCTGTTGGCAGTAAAAATGCATGCAAATAGTTTTGGAAAAAGAAAGTGTAAATCTGTTTGCAGTGGTCCACGTCAATAATCGATTGAGGCCAGTCTGAAACTGCTGCTCTATAAATCTCATGTTCGACGACTTCCACATCTCGTGTCAGTCGTCGACATAGAACCCATTTGCAACAGTCGGAGGAAGTTGCTTAGTGATAGCATTAATTTTAATACTAAAAAGTTTGACACTGAAGACACAGCCCTGAGGGGCTCCAAGTTTCTGTGGAAAGGAACGGGAAAGAGTTGAACCCACATGGAGTTGGAATTGCCTGTTCAGTAAAAGTTTTGAACAAAAATGGGTAAATTGCCATGCAACCCATAGGAGTGGAGGTTCTGCAAAATACCATACCTCCATGTAGTGTCATAAGCCTTCTCGAGATCAAGGAATACAGAAACAAGGCTTCCCTGATCGACGTTTCAAGTCAAATCAGATGGTCCACGGTGGAGCACTATCGACAGAAACCACACTTGGTAGGTGAGAGGAACGTGTTCGATTCGAGGAACCAAACAAGATGAGCATTAACCATCCTCTTTAAAAACCTTACAAAGACAACTAGTCAAAGCGATGGGACAATAATTAGAAAGAATCTTGGGATCCTTCCCAGGTTTAGAGAAAGGGAGGACAAAAGCCTGGTGCCAAGCATCAGGAAAAACATGCTCCTGCCAAATCCAGTTAAAAATAACCAGAAGAATAGCAAGAGAGGCAGGAGAGAAATGGCGCAGCATCTCATAATGAACATCATCAGGTCCGACTGAAGAAGAGAAAGTTTGAGTTCCACCAGTGTAAAGGGGCGATTATAGTCATAGATACGATTGGCCCAAGACTTGATGGCCAAAAAGGCAGAGGAAGAAACAGAAGTACTAGAAGCACGAGAAAAGCTGTGATGAAGAGCATCAGCAACTTCCTGGCCATTGGAGAACAAGATGGAAAGGGGATGGGAAGCATACCTCCAAGTGGAGAACCCCTTCGGTTTATGGCCACGCCATTTGTCTTTACTAGATGAAGGTCAATGGACTTCCTTGGATCCTGCCCTTGATCGAGTGGGCAGATCTCTGTCATTAGAGTAAGAATCCAATGATTGAGGACGTGATCAAATGATCGTCCAGCATCTAGGGGCCAAAGAAGGACCTGAGCAGACACTGGAGGCTGGTGCCCAAGGAGGTTGACTCGGGCAGTCACTGGAAAGAATGGTGGGGACAGGTATTGGAGTAGACATAGACCGGTCAACTCTATTATCCATGGAGGTCAGAAGACCCCTCACATGGTGTGAAAAAGACTTGGAGGCATGAAAAGGTCCGTCTGCACCCTCACTGTAGCAGTGGAGCTTAGTGCAGTGGTATATGTCCGAAATGGAGTAGGGAACAATAGCTTCCGAGCCTCAGGGTAAGAAATGTTATTAATAGTCTTCAAAAGCTGTACCTCTTTCTCTTCCACCCACTTAGGGCAAGACCTACAGTAAGAGGGGTGGGAACCACTACAATTAGTGAGGCTCCAATTCACACTCGTAATCATCATGGTCCTTGCCACCACAATGAGCACATGTCACAGAACCCCTGACAAGATGTCTTTGAATGATCGAACCGCTGGCACTGAAAACATCGGAGAGGGTTAGGAATATACGACCGTATCCTACAATTCAAATAACCCGCCTTAACAGTGGCAGGTGGACATGGTGAGGAAAATGACAAAATGAGGCACCATAATTCCATCTTGACAAGTAGAGATCCTTTGAACTGCTGAAATTGCTTACCTGGAGAAACCAGCAAGGATCTCTGATTCGGAGATGGTCTTCAAGTCCCTCTTGACAATAATTCCTCATGAGGAATTCAAAGAAGCGTGGGGAGTAATCTCAGTGGGTATATCCCCAATGGTCTTTGAATTCAGGAGGAGTTCACTGTGTTTTGGTGTTGATGTTTCGACCAAGGTATCCTCAGAACGTAGTTTCTTGACTGACTTTGGAGAGCCAGCAAGCCCCTCTAATCCCTTCTGAATAAAAAAGGGAGACATTTGCCCTAAAGATTCATCAAACAGTGAATGCAGGATCAGAAAGCGAGGTACAGGTCCATATTGTGGTGGGGCCTGCTGTTCAGAGTCTTCTAGGCATGGTAGTTTACCGATTAGCAGAGTTTTGACACTTTTTATTAGGATTTGGGGGATCCATAATAAAAGAGAAAGGTTCAGTGCCCACTGACCCCACCCACCATGGAGTCTTATGAGAGGATGCACTACAATGTCAAACAAGGACCCTGCATCAACGCCAGGGTTTCATGAGCACTATACCCAAACACCAGGATCCTCTCCTTCCCTTCACGGGTCGCCACACATGGCAAACAAGTGGGTGGATGTTTAGATCCCAGAGGAAGTAACTGAAAATACAGAATCTTCCATAGAAGGTCCCCTCACCAAGTACAGAAATCCAAGTTGAGGGGAGAGACCTTGGGTGTGGTCAAATACATCAATTGAAAAGGTATGACCTCCTGAGTCCAAACTGTAATTAGATCTCAAATTAGTCAAGAGATGATGGAGCTATGAGCTAAAAGTTTGTACTTGAAAAAAAAACACAAAAAACTCATAGCTGTCCTATGAGCCATTATGTCGCAACTAAAAAGAGAAACCAAACAAGCAGAAGTTTCTTCAAGATTAGAACTAGCTGTGAAATCTTGAGCTTCAGACAATAAAGATGAATATATCTAAGCAAAATTAAGATTGCTCTTGTTCAACATTATGAGAAAATGACAACTATTTCATAATTTGAGCATATACATGACTGTGAAATAGGCTAGGGATATCAGTAGATAATTTGGCATTAATAACCCAAATATACTGATCAATAAGAGCTGACAATATGGCCACTGGATCTTTCTACACAGTTTTTGAGACAGACTGTACAAGCAAGATCTCCAGAGAAATTGAAGAATTTCTGATATTAAAAGAGGCACTGACTTCAAAATTCATAGTGTAGCAAAACTAACAGGATAACTGTCAACAAGAAATCTGTATTATAGTGGAAAATACAGCTTACGTATGTTCTCATGATGCATGTACAGTAAGTAACATAGAATGTAGGAGAATGAGGAACTCTTGAGAAAGTTGAGGCATACTTAGCATTGTGTCATACACATTCAGAACCTTCAGCCACATTAATGCTGAAAGCATATGAGTAAACTGAATAAGGAAAGGCCTTTATTATTTCAAAGGTAAATCTCACTGATTTGAATACATGTTGAACACTACTGCCAATGAAAAAAACTACTGGCATAAACACAGAGATAAACACATGCACATATCTATTATAATAATACTCAGTTTTTGTCTGTCCTAAAAATGGATGTGCACCTTACTATCTAAATACAGATGTGCATGCACTTCATTTTAACAGATGTAAGCAAAAGGTGGGTGTAAATATATTTTATAACACATTTTGTAAAACAACACATTAAAAGCTTATCAAAGTTTTTAAATAGGTCTAGCATTAAGTCATAGAATAACATTATAAGTTTATATATTGATAGTTTTAAGTATGGTAAAGTTTAGCCTGAAGTAAACTAAAGCAAAAAACATACACAAGTTGCAGTGTTAATTTATCTCTTTATCAAATATAAGCTGTACTTAATAGACTTAACTAATGTTAGGCCTAAAACAAGTGGACTTATAGATATCAGTGTCTGTGATTGGAATTCTTTTGCATTATTCTAGAAATCCTGTATTAAAAGAAGTACTATACAATAAAGATATTAATACATATTCATTTTAATACCTAATTTCAATTTACACAACTGTAACTAATATGAAGATTATTAAATTCTTTATAAAAGAAACAATAGCACATTTACAACATTACACAAAATAACAGATACAATAACATAATAAAATATAAGGTAGAAAACTTACCCTAATATCAGGAAACTGATTCATGTAAGAGTTCAATGGGGCAGAGACTTGGTCAGTAAGCTTCACACAAAAGTCTTCAACCAACAGCTCCAGGCTCTTTAAGAAATTTCATAACATACTCATTTATTTCCTTCACTGGTTTATATGTAACTCACAAATACTGGTACTGATTTACATATGTATCTTCATATATCACCATCAAGTGATATTGTTAACCAGATGCAATAATTTCATAGAGTCTGTTTTCATTCAAGTCATATAATTCAAGATGGAAAAACTTGGTTACAGAGGTTTTTGTTCTTAAGGAGGTGTTTTTTATTAAAAGTGCTTTAAAATTATTATTAAATAATACTTAAACTAATTCACTTTAGAATGTAAAATAAACTAGTGTTTGGTAGGCCTACTTCTCTTTTTAATTTGTTAATGCTATCACTCTTCATGTGGAGTTATTCTCAGGGCCAACATCAAAGTTTTGTTAAGATAATTTTGGAACTTCACTACAAGGTCTCTTATACAAAATTTCATAGGCCTGGCATGGATTGATGGTGAGTGCACTGGCCTTGCAATCTGAAAGTCACAGGTTCATATCTCATCATTAAACATGTTCACCCTTTCAGCTGCAGGGACATTATGATGTCATAGTCAATCCCACTATTCATTGGTAAAAAGTAGCCCAAGAATTGGCAGTGGGTGGTGTTGATTACCTGCTTTCCCAGTCTATCACTTATAAATTAGAGATGGATAGAACAGATAGCCCTCAAGTAACTTTGCTTCTGTTCTGAACAGTAATCAACAACTTAGGGTTTTGTTACCTTTATTATAATTACAAATATATTTAATTATTACACTTATGAAAAAGTCCATTTCTATATTTTGATGTGGTTAGTATTTCTAAGTAAAACACTAATTTAAAATAGCTGGAATGATGTCCCATATTTCTGTATTTGAGAGACATAAACAAGTTAACATTTTCCTCACTTATAAGTGTATTTCAGATAAATCCCTACTGAACAAAAAAAGCTATTACTTAGTGCATCTGCTGAGACAATTTTTGTATATGCCACAAACTTTGAACAGAATTACCACTCCTACACATATTAATGTAGACTGCATTAGCCTTTACAATATGCCTTGAGGGCACTGTTGATTTCTTTCAAGATTAATAATAAGTGTTAAAGGAAAAGAAAAGATAACATCAAAAGTTGATTATATGTGAAAAGGAAAAGAACCAAAATAACGAATTTAACAAAAGTTAAAATTTTACCATACCAAAAATGTATTTCCAGTAACAGTTTCCTTTTCTCTTAACTTTAATCAGGATAAAGTTATGTGAGAGGAGATAAGTGTCTATGAGAAGGAAAATCTTTGAAGATATTGTAGAAAAAATTAAAAGGTATGTTGCTTTTTCCATTTCCTAACTTTAATTATTTCTTTGCATTGTACATTGATGATAATAGCTAGAGTTAGTGATATGATAAATAAAATATAAACATTTACCTTAAAAAACTAGACATTATGCAAATGAAATATGGAAACTACAAGAATATGAAAAGTATTTTTATACTTAAAATAAAAATCCCCTTGCACTTGATTTGTTAAGAATTTGAGTGCAAGTAACTACAATAGATAAATAACAGATTTTTATTAAACACACTTAATTATAATAATGTCATTCTTTGAGCATAAGATACACTATTATAATAGTGGAAGAGTGTTTTCACGAAAAACATTTCAAAAATTTGGTTACAGCTTAGATTATGTATAGGTTTGGTAAAAAGTTAACTGTTATCACCTTCATTGTAAAAATTAAACGTTACTGTAGCTAGTGTGGATAAGTTAAGTGTTGTTACTTGTTAACACAATAATACTATAACATCTGAATATACTTTCTAGTTTCATTCTTATTCAATCACTAATGGACTTCAAATTTTGTAAGACAATGTTATAACTATAAAAAGATTTATTTTACAAAATAAATTGATGTTATAGGATTTTTATTTTGTTTGGCTTTAATTTTTAAACTTAGGCTACTTGACAAAATATCCAAAAATTCTACGTTTTTACTTTTGCAAAGTATGTGTTTGCCTAAGAAATAAAATGAGTTATGATTATTCATTTGCTTGGTTGGTTACAAAACATTTGAGTACCTGTGTAGTTACAGATACAACACTTAAAGCCCCAACATTGTCATAAACATGCTTATTAACATGCAAAACAATATTGCATTTTCTGGAAAAGTGTACACAGTATTATTATAACAGGTGAGTGATAAGATAATAAATCTTTTTATTGTTCATAAATGCTAAACAATGCAGTTGCATTGCATGAATAAAACATATTCTAGAAAGTCTAGAATTAAAAAAGTAACTTATTTCTAAATTATTACCCTTTCCCCCAGAGGGGGGGCGAGGGTATTTCAACTGGGTCCACGTGCTTGTCTGCACGTTTTCAAAAACTAAAAGACTAATGTATACAAACATTTTACACGAGATGAGAAGTCAGTATGGGACAGTTCTCCACAAGTTTGGTCTGGATCACTTTGAATTATTTTTGATCATGGGGAGATGGGCATTTTCAGACTTAAGGGCTAATAACTCTGTAAAGTGTGATCAGAGTTGTACCATATTTCATGGGCACATTAAGGCTAAGAATCCTAAACACACAACAAAAAATTATCCGGATCGTTGATCATTCTGAGAAGGATTTTCTGAATTTTCAAAGGTGAAATTTGACATTATCCAACATAAATGCATGCAATTTCAAAAAGGAGCAGTGGGGACAAGGGTGTGCAATCTCTCTGATTGCTCTTGTTGTACCTGAAATTTGAAGATAGGGTTTGTTTTAGGTTTTTCATATTTTTTGACAGTAGATAAAATTTTGTGAGACACAAATTTGAGTTAATTTTATACAGTAATTCTAACTATATTTCAACAATTTTAACTGAAAAATATTTTAAAATTGATATTTCATCATTTTCTGATAGTGTAATTTATCAAGAAAAAAAAGGTTCACACTTTCATTTCTGCACAACTGCAATGAGTTTTCCAGTAAACAAAACAATCCCCTTGTCAATAGCGTAATTTATCAAGAAAAAAAAAGGTTCACACTTTCATTTCTGCACAACTGCAATGAGTTTTCCAGTAAACAAAACAACCCACTTGTCAATTTTCTTTTAAAATTTTTCTGTCCATTCCAAAAAATAACTAATTTTGCTAAGAACCTATCAACCCTCAAGAATATATTATCCACTTCTTGATTTTTAAGCATTTCTCTTAGTTTTTATACAGGACTTGACTGATTAAGGTGCCACATGAACATAGCTATAAATAACTATAAAGAACGTTTAAATATAATTGGATGGAGCAAGAATTATGTTATGACATCAGAGTAGAGTAAATATATAAGTTCCTTTTGTTTGTGAATTGTGAAAGTATCTGTGTGTTAAATTATACTTGTTTTACAGGTAGAGAAACTTCCATGAATGGAAAAACATCAGATAACTTGAGAGATAAGGTAAACTTATGCAGTTTAGAGACAGAGAAACAAAGAAAACATATTGTTTGGAGAAGGTTTTGTCACCATCAGGTGCAAGTAATTCACCTAGACATAGGAATATATACAGTATTAAACAAAGAAGTCACATGACTGGAGACTGCTAAAGGCTTATCAAAGGTACCATCTGGTTCTTTGTACAAAATTATGGTGTTTTTACTTTTTAACAGATATACTATAGTTTTATTGAGTTGAAATGCTTATAACATGAATTTTTCAAATTGTCAGCAAATCAGGTAAGTTTAGTTACCTTTACTGTTTAGTAAGTATGATAGATGACTGCAAAATATTCTGATGAAAAATCTTTATTGAATATTATTTTTGTGTTTATCCTATTCAAGCAACATACATAAATAAACTGGCTAACTGGGAGCTAGTTAACTATGTTTAACTGCAACCATGATATGTTTTAAATAATGAAAACATCCTTTACTATCACAGATGAATAATATTCTAAAAACAAACATAATGGCAAATGCATGGTGGTGTTTAGTACACTAGGTATTCATTCAATTAGTAGGAAAAGTCCAGATTATTTTAAAAACAAATTAGTAGCAAATATATTTTTAAGGCAAAAAATAATTGTTTTGCAAAATGCACAAATGGTGACCAATGAGTAATTTTAAAATTACTTTAAAAAAATGGGATGAATAAAAAAAAAAAGAGTAATACCATGTTAGGATAATACAATAGTTGAAAACTTAAAACGTTTGCACACACTTTTTTCTTTCTTGTACAGGAAGGAGAATTGGAAAGGGTGTGTACTATTTGATTAATCAAATTCAATCAATTAACGAGCCCATATCTGTTAACCCTACGAATACAGGCTGGGTGAGATCCACCCAGCTAGTAACCACGAAAGTATCTATGAGAGTAATTATACTATAATTTTTGATAAGATATGCATACTTTTAAAAAAATGTATCTAAAATTATCAAGTTTCATTTGTGTATTCTCTATATTCTTCTAGGCAACAATCAAACGTTTTTTGAATAAAACTTTATATTTAATCTGTTATTTTATCAATGCTAACTCTATATAATGTTGGTCGATTTCACTGACCTTGTAACCATCATAAAAATTAGGAAATAAATCTAAATTACCTTTTTTATTTTAGAATAACTGCAAATTGTAACAGGAAACCACAAAAGTTTATTCTAAATAGCTTAAATCTTGTACCAGTATACGTGTATTTATATTTATGAATTTTTGTTTTATTGACATTTGAACCATGTCTGACCAAAAAGACCCTGACACAAGTTGAAAATTACCGCATCAAATGGTGTAATGCACAAGCTACTGGCATGTATATCCCATGAAGATTTTTAATATTTTTCTTTCATTATTTTATCTAATAAGTTTCTATTTTTTTACATTTGAGTTACTTTTATAATAATAAATAGTGAAAACAAATGAAAAATAAAAACTTGTAATTAAATATCAAACATTTTTATTTTTATTTTCAGTAAAGCTTTATATTTTATCTGTTATTTTCTTTACTGTAACATTATACTCGATTCTCCAGGTTGTAGGTAAGTAATCTA